CATGTCTGGGATGAGGTCAAGGTCTGTTCTGTATGATGTATTAAGACATTTGAAATGTACATGAAAATCAATTTTAAAATGAAACATTATTTTTTTTCCGAAGGTTTGGGGTAAGTAAGATTTTATAATTTATGTACTACTTTTAATAATAAAGTAATACTACTTTTATTCAGCAAATATACATTAAACAATTTGAAAGTGTTAGTAAAGACATTTAGTAACATAATATTGTGTCATTTGGAATAAAATTATAATTATGTTTATATAATTTCTTATGTTCCAAATTACTAGTATAATTACTTCTGAATGACTTAATTAGAATGGAAAAAATAAAAAGTGAAAAAAAAATATTTAAGTTGTAATATTTCACTATATTACTGTGTTTGTGTCTTTAGAAAAGCAGCATTGATGAATATAACAGACTTACATACAAAACACTTACCATCCCAAACCTTTTAAACATTTATGTACCATTAGAATTAAAATTAGTTTCAAACACTATACTTTGCTGTGACTTTAAATCTATAATTTGTGTAATTTTGGTAAATCCATTGTTTGTGTAAATACACAGGAAGAGATGACCTATGCCTTATCAACAATGAGAGTAGACTACGAACAAATAAAGATCAAAGCAATCGAGGACTCATCCAATCCTCTCCTTCTGAAGAGAAGAAAGAAAATGGCGGCTGCAATGAAAGAGGCACCAGGACTGAATCAAACAAGCTTGGCTGTAAATTTGCCTACCTCCTGATCTTGCCTATAGCTCCTGATCTTGAGCATTAAAAAAAATGTTAAACATCTTTTTTTTTATTCATGAATATGCAAATATGACCTTTAAATATCATTTAACCTCTATCACTGAAAACTTGTCATTGCATGCATATTAATATTTGTGTTAATATCTGAAAGCATGTCAAAGGGTTTGATGATAAAAAGTGTTTTGGTTTTTGGAAATGCAAAGTTAACCCAATTATTCACCATTTAGTACACATCCTCCATATGTTAAATGTGCTGTGTGTAAGATTTTTGACTCTTCTAAAGCATAAAATACCATAATACGTTTGCACATATTTAAAACACATGCTAAGTGAACATTCTTGTTTATCTGAAAAACCATGCTGAAGTCAGATATTCTGCTTTGAAAATCAGCATTAAGTGCCAGAACATCTGTCTTTGTTTTGGTCCTTTTAACCTACCCAATGTCAGTGTAGCCAGTTATATTTCAGCACCCCTGATTGCTTTGTTGGAAAACCACTTATTTGATTCATTCAGTCATAAGGCTCTCAAAGCACGGATCCACGACAAACACAGATTCCACATTCCACATAGGTACGTGGTTATATTAATTAGCAAATAATATAAATATTACGAATGTACACATTAGGTAAGCAGGTTACATTGTAACCCCATGTCCTAACAACATGCTACGTGACGAGATTTGCAGTGATAAGCAATTGGGCTGTTTGCACCAGGCTCAACACAACAGAAGTTTAAGCCATTCAGAAATACAGCCCTTCAGAAACACAGAATATATGTGCACGTACTGGTTTACAATCTAATTAGTACATAATAAACCACTTTAACATTATTAAATATACATGCTAAATCACTGATATGTGTTGGCTTGCTCTGAGTGAGTTTTAGGGCGCTATCATACACCCGGCGCAGTGTGGCGCAAGGCGCGGCGCAATAGTCTTTTGGTAGTTTCAGCTTGGCGCAAGATTCGTTTTGAGGCGTTGCGCCATAGATATATACACTAGATGTCGCCTGGCCTATTGTTGTCTATTGGACGGAATGCGTCAATAGCGCCGCCATCTTGTTACAGGGTAGCGCTCCTTTGAAATGAATGCGGGACCAAGGTACAGTGGAGGACTGTGGCCATCCAAAGCCAGAGATAATCACATATACACATATATCTATGATCAGGAGTTTTCCTGGATGTTAGTGTGTAATTTTTTTTTCTAATTACGAAAATTATAATTTGACATAACTTTTCTACATTGATGGATCAGTGACCGCACGGGCATTCCTAACAAAAAGCTTGTGTTTGTGTGTACAGAATTGTAATATTCAATCTCCCTGTTAAATTTGATCTAATCATGTCCTGAAACACACCTGCTCTCCTGCTTTCACTTCTCATACTCACTAACGTTAGCCAACAATAATTCAAGTTTTTGGCACCGCAGCATCTCGTTGTCATATTTCTTTTGCATTGTTTGCTGATTTTATTCAACAAAACTAGCATAAGCTGAGTGTTTAGTGCGAGTTGGAGCTGCTTTGCCTTATAGTGAATGCAGTAAGTGACTGTTATCATCAATAACGTTACCTGATTAGCATAAAAGTTCAGAACATACAAAAACAGAAAAAAACTTAATATTACCTATGAAATGTTTTGCCTTTGTGTTTTGTTTTCTTTGTTTGCTCGTTACTACACCCGTAGACAGCGATAAATTCCCGCATCTTCACGTAATAACACTGTCTTGACTAGTGCGGTTTAATGACATTTGTCCTTGGATCACTGTACCAATGTGGCGGCGCTATTGACGCATGCTCAGGGTCCCTATGCGATATCTAGTGTATATATCTATAGCGTTGCGCTACGCTGTTTAAATAGCAAATGCATTAGCGCTCATTTGTGCGCCCATAGGCATTCTGGTCTAAAAAGGAAGGCGTTCTGAGGCGGATCGCTGGCGCATTGCTATTTTGAGAAACTATAATAGATTTTTCATTAGACCAAAACTAACCCGTCTAAACTCTGGCGCAGAGTTCACTGCTTAATACGCACAAGAGAGCAATAGGCAAATATCTTTGCATATGAAAAAAAATTATTGCTAAGGATATATATAGGATATAATAAGAATAGATATAGAATATAAATATAAAGGATTAACATATTACAAAACATATTATTTTCTAGCCCACATAAATATGAAAAATCACTTCTTCATCTCGGGAGGCTTTTTCAGTTCATTCATAACAATTTGATTTTGTATAATGTTATTACTATTAGCAGTATTATTTATTATATCCATATTTATATTTGTTTTTATTAAAAACAAGCTTAGATTTGCCCACCTGTCAGGTTTTAGACCATATGGGGCACAGCATGTGTTTTAGGATATAACTCAGGTTTTTGAGCACATTTTGTTATTATTATTCATTTATTCGTTTGCTGGAAATTAGAACTGAATTTAGAAATAGTTTTGAAATGAATATTTGTGCTTAACAAACTAAATTATTTATTTATAGACTAATTGGTGTCTGTGAGTAAAGGTTTCCCTATCCAAGAGCGAATGTGAAAGTAGTTCCATTATCTCTCATTTTCACGCAGTAGATGCTCTGTTTAACAGTTTTCTGTTAAAAAACTGTAAACTGTTTGCTTGTGAAATGCTCATTCTTTCCACTTAGACTTACTTTGCGTCCTGTAAATAATGTGCTCTTGGCGCGACGCAGCTGACTCTTAAAGGGAATGGGAGATGAGACTCTAATTGGTTTATTCTCAAAACACACCTATAACTCATTAACAAAATAAACTCAACACTTTTAGACCATGCGCCGCGGCGCAAGGCAGATTTCCCGTCCTTAAATTAGCAAAAACGCGTCCTGACACGCCCTGAAAGCGTTTGCGCCCTGCGTTTTGCGCTCTGCGCATGGACCGTCAAAATAGAGCCCTTAAAGTTCAATTTCAAACAGTTTATTTTATTTTCAAGATCTGAGGTGAACTATCTGCTGCTGCTTTCAGTAGTATATGACAATAAATGTCACATAAATGGCATTAAAACTCACATTATTAGCATTTAACACAGAGTAAAGCACATGGGGTGTACCTGAGGTGATCATTGCTAGTTTCCCGTTGTTCAGCTGCAAGAAACAGAAGTTGTTTCTAAAATATAAACTTCTGGTGCTGGTTAGGACAAAAACTCCTTTTAAAATAGAAAATATTCCTTCTAACATGAATCCCTTGCTTTTATATAGAACACGATTTAAATCAGCGTTTGTTGGTGTTATCAATCTGCTGTTGCATGCGTTTTAAACCAGGGGTGCAATACCAGGTTCAACCACTGGGTTTCAAACGTACACACTGCACCTTTAAATCTTTTTAGATTTCTTTCCTAATAAAAAAATATAGTTTTGATTATTGAAGAAACCAGAGCAATAAATGCTGCAATTTATTTAAAGACTTTTTTTTCTGCTATGGAGGAAGGTGATCATAGATTGAACTATGCCTTAGTGTATTTTACACATACATTTTGGGGTTAGTAAAAAAATTACAATTGTTGTTTTTTGAAACGTGGTAACATGTTAAATAGTGGGCAGAGTGCACATAGACATATATAATATTATGTACACATTCTAAACAAAAGTTGGTGTTTGATGTGATCTCTATTGGCACCAAGCACGCCTTGGATATGTAAGTACCAGCTATATTTTCATCTAAGTCTTTTACATTTTCTGAACTGCTGTAGTAAACCAGTTAGGATTGTTCTTTATCGTTAAACATAAGTTTATCATTCTTTTTTCTGTGTATACTTCAGAGGCAAAATGCTACTTTAAAATTCCATTACAAAACGAACTGATCAACAGCCAATAAACAGCACACTAAAACATTACATCATCATCTTCGTTATATAACACACATTGGTATGCGTTAATTAAATAAAGCATGAGTAAATCCACATTAAGCCTAAGAAATTACTTCTCGTTAACCATTCCCTTGTGATAAATGAACGAAAGACTAATTGACTCCATATGAGTGTTTTCCATATTATGTGAGTTCTGCCAACATGATGTCATTAAATGCACCACAGTTTGTATATATAAAACAAACTAATAAATTGGTTGTGTTTTCATGCATTCCTTAATTGCATGGAATTTATTTATACATAAGAACAACCCCTTCTGTTCATTTTAATTTTACATTGATACATAATGAGTCCTTGATTTGTAACCCTTTGATATTTATGACTTGCGTATACTTCGTTTTTTTTTTTTTTTTTTTTTTTAGGAGATTTGTTTAAAGTGTAATGTTAGCCAGTAGCAAGTTACTTCAGTATTTAACTGCAAGGTATCCTGTCTATACTGACATTCACACTTAGTACAGTTATCTGACATCTTTTGAATATAAAGTATCTGAGCAGAGGTCACGGATGAATTTGATGTCAAGCAAACTATTTGAAAATATGTACAACTTTAATTACAACCAACAATATAACATGCCTAATTTTACTAGGGCAAATGCCACAGAAATGCATGTAAACACACAAAGCCTGTCCTGTGTAAGGATAATGATAAGGCAGGGGTCCCGTCTTGACAGAATCCATGAAGTAAGGCTGTTAAAATGCAGATGTTTTGCGTTCTCGCACATGGTACTTATGTTCACTAAAGCCTCAGGGCACAAAACTCTGCATAACATGTTAGTGAGGCATTAGACAAAGGTTCACTGTATTGGCTTTACACTGAAGGGTCTGGTCTGTAAAACTGTATCCATTTATTGGAATACATTCTACTGTATAAATTGAAGCGATTTACGAGTTTCAAGGTACAGTTCACGCTTTTTTCCATAATAATTTAAAATGTATTTTAAAGTTATTTTATAGTTAAGTGAATGTGACTGCATGTGTATGTACTAGGATAATGGTTTCATGGCATCTTGTTGTTTGCACGGCTCATTTTATTACTCTCTCTCTTACTCTCATTATTTTTGTAGTTTACCATTTTCCAAAGCAACTGAAGCGCACAAACACAATACAAAACTATACTGAAAACTACAGAGGTCACAACCATAGGTAGGTTTAATCTTTATTCTGCATGTAAAACAAACTTCATTAAATTTCTTCTATGATAAAATGTTAATTTATAGAAATACAATTCTTTTGTCTGGGTTTTTTCTATATTCTTTTTCTTTTAACTTTATATAATGTTTATACAGTATATTGAAAATAGTTTATTAACCTTAGATCTTTAATTTTGCAAATAATTATAAAGAAATGACAGGTTTGAAAATCACTACTACTACTACGATAGTTTTTATTTTACTTTGGTGGAATTTAATTTTTGATCTATCTCATTATTGTTTGAAATATGTTTACTCTGCTTTGAATAGATACTTCATGCTTGAAAGATAATAAAGTTTACCTCATCTTTTCATTTGGTAACACTTTATTTAGATGGTCCATTTAAGTATTAGTAATATCTGTTGATACTGCTCCTTCAACAGACATTTAACTAACTATAACCCCAACCTAACAGTCTACTTATAATCTAATGAGAATTAGTTGGCATGTAGATGCAATTAAATTCAACAAATGGACCTTAAAAATGAAGTTTGATCTTTCATTTTAAAGAAGTTTACTTATCACTTAAAATACTTGAATAAAAACCTCTTCTTAATCTTTTTAGTCTGTCAATTTAATCAAAAAGAGATACACAAAGTTGAAGTCAGAATTATTAGCCCCCCTGAATTATTTGCTCCCGTAAATTTTTTCCCCCAGTTTCTGTTTAATGGAGAGAAGATTTTTTTTGACACATTTCTAAACACAATAGTTTTAATAACTCATTTCTAATAACCGATTTATTTTATCTTTGCCATGATGTCAGTAAATATTATTTACTTTTCAAGACACTTTAATACAGCTTAAAGTGACATTTAAAGGCTTAACTAGGTTAAGTAGGTTAACTTGGCAGGTTAGGGTATAGCTTAAAGGGGCTAATATTTTGACCTTAAAATGTTTTTTTTTTTTTTTTTTTTTTTTAACTGCTTTTATTCTAGCCGAAACAAATTAGACTTTCTCCAGAAGAAAAAAATAATATCAGACATACTGTGAAAATTTCCTTGCTCGGTTAAACATCATTTTGCAAATAATAAAAAAAAGAAAAAAAATACCCCCTTTCCTCCAACCAAATTATGCAATGCATGTTCAAACATGAATGTGTGATCAAATATAATTCTAGTGTGTTGTTTTTAACATCGCCTTAAGAGGGGAAGCTCTCATCTGGACAGCTGTCAGAGCTGGATTAATTGATCATCATCTTCGCAAATTGCACCGAAGCTTCCTCAGGCAAAACTCTCTTCTCTCCATGAAACTTTCTGTTACAATAGGACACATTATATCATGTGGGATACTTGCCCAGACCTGAGATAATTTGCTTAAAGCCTGTTTTCATGCTCTCCTCTGACAGATATCAAACATACCACATGCAAATAGTGATGATGATTTATTGTAATTATAGTTTTTATAGAGAAACCATTGTGGAGGAAATTAGATTTATGTTTATGCCTTAATGCTTGTAATACTTGTAATAATTTATTTTAAAACTGCTCAATTTTTATGTGCCTTCCAGTGATGTAATATAATGATTTACAAATACTTAAAACACTGCATTTTTTTTATTTTTTTATCTCTCTCTCAGGAATTATGTTACACTTAGTAGTTAAAAAAATGTGTGCTTTTACATGAGTACATTTAAGTGCTGTATTTTGTTGCACTATTTTCAACCCAGGCTCATTCTAAAAATGTAACCCTATGTACAGTTCTGGAGACCGCCAAATTCGTCCCAGGAGGTACATTTTTTATTTTTGTGAATCTGCCAGAGGCCGCTGTGTACGCTCTTTGAGATCTCAAATTTCTCTCACGAGTGCCATTTGTGCCTGCTCTTTTTGCACAAATCCAACAGAGGCCACTGTCGACTGACTGACTAACTGACTGATCAACTGACCCATTCTCCTCCTTCCCTAAACCTTACTGATATTGTTTTAAAAAGCACTGATTGACGAGTGCTCACCCACTTCCCTAAATCCATCTGAAAGTGTTATCAAAAACAAACCAAAAAAAAAAGTAAGGCCGCCTGATTTTTACCACATTTTCACATCTTACCACATTCTTACCACATTTATTCATTCATTCATTTATTTTATTTTCGGCTTAGTCCCTTTATTAATCCGGAATGAACTGCCCCTGTTATTTACTTGTATATTTTATATTTTGGCTTTTGTTTTAGTCTTACCTGCTTTCTGGAACCGATCTTCGGAACTCAAACCCCGTCGTTGCGGTCAATTCCGCTCCAGGACACAAGTCCACTGACACGCTGCGAGCCACCAGACAAACTGGTAACAGCAGAAAAGCTGTCCACACGGAAGTAAGCAGTCAGCTGGTGAAGCGAAAAGGAACAGCATCATACCGACCCGTAGCCTTTGTTGTAAAGACGAAACCATACGTAGCTTTGACTACATAATTTGTGATCTCCAGAAATGTACTGTATATAGGGCTACGTTTTCAGAATTAGCCAGTGTTGACTATTTCCCTTCAACCTGAGGGGTTAATTGACAAAAGTAGAATCAAGAAAGCCAGGACAACAGAAAAGGTACAGCTTGATCTAGTTTAATTGGGCCCACTAACATGGATGGATAAGTGATGGCATGGGTATTGCCGACAAAGCGTATGTGTTTGTGTGCATGGAAATGTATTATCCCTCCCTGCCTGTTAAATTTGATCTAATCCATGTCCTGAAACATGCACCCCCTCTCCTGCTTTTACTTCTCATTCTAATGGAGGGAGCGATTAGTTTGTGAATGAATCTTCGTTATGAATGACTCATTCACTTAAGTAAGTAGCACACAATACTACAAGTTTCTGGAACTGCAGCGTCTTGTAGTCATATATTTTTTTCATTGTTTTCTGATTTTATTCAACAAAACTAGCATAAGCCTAGAATTTAGTGCAAGTTGGTGCTGCTTTTCCTTTTGGTGAATACAGTAAGAGACTGTATTATTGTCAAAGACGTTACTTGTTGAGCAAAAAAGTTCGTAACATGCAAAAACGTAACAACGAAATCTTACCTATGGAATGTTTTGCTTTTGTGCATTGTTTTCTTTGTTTGCTCATCACTACACCCGTACACATTGCTAAAGTCCAGCATCTTCATATTGGCACACTGACTAGTGCAGTTGAATGACATTTGTCCTAGGGGCCCTGTACAAATGTGGCGGCTCTATTGACACATTTTCAGGGTTAGTATGCGATATCTGTTGTATATATTTAAAGGATAAAGAGCACATTTGCTGCATCTATTAACAGACCACGTGATAGATCACAGAATCAATCATCCAAGTATGGATAAAACCTGATGTGAGCCAATCAGGTGACAAGTTCAAACACGCCCCTCTCGCCCACCAATCAGGGAACTCCCATTACTTTCATTCAGAGAATTAAAAGAAACATATTAACAAGGAGGCGTATTAACAAATTAAATCATTCACTTTTTCTTAAATCTGACCGGTGGACATTCATGCTACTAATAATTTATTGTGAAGAATATATCAAACACTTACCCAATATTGCAGATGTATTTAATCTGTTTTGTTTATTTTATCAAATTTATTTAATCTTTATCAGTATGATCACTTATATATATCATTCATTAATATACTTGTCGGCTTAGTCCCTTTATTAAAAAGGGGTCGCCACAGCGGATTGAACCGCCAACCTATCCAGCAAGCTTTTATGCAGCAGATCCCTTTCCAGCCGCAACCCATCTCTGGGAAACATCCACACACACATTCACACACACACTCATACACTACAGACACTTTAGCCTACCCAATTCACCTGTCCCGCATGTCTTTGAACTGAGGGGAAAACCGGAGCACCCGGAGGAAACCCAAGCGAACGCAGGAAGAACATGCAAACTCCACACAGATCCTTCTTGCTGTGAGGCAACAGCACTACCTACTGCGCCACTGCTTCGCCCATATATATGTATGTGTATATATATATATATATATATATATATATATATATATATATAGAGAGAGAGAGAGAGAGAGAGAGAGAGAGAGAGAGAGTGAGTGTGTTTAATGTCAAACATATTAGTTATTTATTGGATACAACTGAATAATTTGATTCACAGAATTCTGTTATCCTCGATGCAATGCAAAAGTTACATTCAGGAGGTGTACAACTGTTTTCATTTCCTGACTTTAACTTATATCGGCAGCTGATATTAACGGGTGGAGTTTAGTGTTTTTTCACTTCATCATTGTCAAGTCTTCTAATGGCCGCACCCATACATACATCCTCTTTTTCTACTAATTCTCTGCACAACATTAAAAGCACAAGATTTTCTCAGCTCAGTTAGGCTAATTTAATTTTAAGTTAATTTTAGACAATCAGGCCTTTGCATCTCTATCAGCTCCATCTACTTTTGCAAACAATGCTTCATTAGTATGCAAAGAATATCAAACTTAACAGAAGTTCAGTTATTATATCACCCTTAAGCAATACAAATACAATTTTTTTATGAAAACTAAAAGAGACAAAAATATGTTTAAATTGTATTTTTTATGTAGTATTTTCCCAACAAGGTAGCAAACCTCCAATTTATTTTGGCTCAATAATACTAATATTAATACTAGTGTTGATGAAACTGTTAATTGCAGTACTTATGTTACAAATGCAAATACAGCACTGTATCTCAAAACCATGACATTTTAAACATCATTTTCTGCAATAAACAGATTGCATATTTTCATAGTTTTTATGGCTATATAAATTTTACACACTTTTTCTCGGAAACAGATTATGTGACTAAATAGACAGAGATGGTCACATATATAGTACACATACAGTACACCCCTTAAAAAGGAGGCATTAAACAAATCTAAAATCATCCATAAAGGAACTAAACACTATCATGATAAAACAAGGCTCATCACTATGTGGATCAATAGTATGAAGCTGCAGGCCCGGAGACCCAACTGCACGCTCAGACCTGCTCGTTCAGCTGCTAGACCTGCACTTCCAGACCTTCACAGTGCCACCTGCTGTTTAAAAGATCGACTAACCTGATTTCAGCTGCTTCTAAATTGTAATTTAAACTATTTTCTACTATAAAATATTAGGCTATAATTGAATAGATTATTATATGAAATATTAAACATACTAGATTTTTGATTTAATGCATTAATTCTGTTGTATTTTTATTCATTGCATTTGTAATTAGATATTGTTCAGTTATTTCAATATTTTCAGACATTTGTTGTTGTTTTTTACTATTAAGGATTTATCACTGTTTCGTATTGAGTTTAGGGAATGAATATTATCTTCATATACAATAAATTTCATACACAAACAATTATAGTACTCTAAGTAATTTTCTCACAACAAACTTTATTTTTTGTACTTTTTCATGAGGTCCTACAAGTCAAGTTGTAAACAATGCATAGAAAAATTGTAAAAAATAATAATTGGAGTAATAATTATTTTTTACGTAGAAAATAACATAAATGCTTTACATTCTTATTGGGAAGATTTTTCATTACTAGAGCAAAAAAATGGAAATGTCTGCAGTCTTTGGTACATTGTATTATTGTTGGCAGAGACCCACTTTTTAAATGTAATATCAATCTGGGGAAAAAATACACACCACAAGCAAATTATTTCTGGTTTCACCTAAGAGAGCTCACATTGTAAATTCTATGCAGATTAACTGATATTTTGATTTCCAAAAAAACGTGTTTGTAATCATTACAGAACTTATAAATAATTGATACACTGTTATTGTCTTTTGTAGCACTTTCAGATAGATAATAAAGTAATATGTACTGTTGACCTATACAGCACTAAAATACATTACAAATAATAATTGTGCTATATATTATAGCCTACATTTTATTTTAACATTTTTACTTTAAAGTTTTTTTTTATTTTGCCAGAAAACATTGCTAGAAAATTGTCCCAGAATAGTAGAATAATACATAAAATAATAGCAAGCTTTAAATATCATAAAATAATGCTCTTTTGACACTAATTTTGATCAAATCAAACACTGAATTAATTGTTTGTTAGTGTAATATTTTACACCACATTGATTTATGTCATAAAACTTGGTAATTTTCAGGAATTGCTTTAATAATCAATAACCTTACTGGCGTTTCTGATGTTGCTACTTACAAGAAAGTGCTGGTCTGAGTGTGCAGTTGGGTCTCCGTACCTGCCGCTTAACCCAACCCAACAGCCGAGGACTGTGCTCGCAGATCTGAGCGTGCAGTTAGGTCTCCGGGCCTGCAGCTTCCCCTTACTCATGTGGATATGTTTTTGAACGGATTAGCAGCATCAGGCAAATATTGGGGGACAATAAGTGTTTTCTAGCACTAGGGGTTGCATGTGGTAGTGGAATCTTATAGGTGGGTTGCAGAAAAAAGGGTATGCGCTGGTAAAACAATTTCCAGCGTAATTGGCAGTACATTCCACTGACTGCGATGAGTCCTAACAAATAAGGGACTACAATTGTCAAACCTGGAAGAAAAATATATGTTATTTATGATTGATTCAAATTAAGTAATATTTATTTTACAGCTTTTGTGTGTGCATTAACATACATTTTATCATAAAGATATTTATATTTGTGTTCTGACAGGAAACCTGCAGTGAAAATGAGAGGCTGGATTTTACTGCTGATCCTGGCAAGGCTTGTCAATCTTTCCATGACACAACCAACCAACTCTTTAACCTGGCTAAGTTATCTTCGTAACCGAGCCTACAGTCATGGCTATGGTCGTAGTCACAACGGCAATTACGCTTCTCTAAGAAATGAGGATGAGCCTTCTGTGCTAGACTGCCCTTTGGAATGTGACTGCCCTCCTGCCTACCCCAAAGCAATGTACTGCAACAACCGCAAGCTACAACATGTGCCGTTTGTACCATCTCATATTAAATATGTATACTTGCAAAATAACCAGATCACAGGCATCACAAATGGGGTCTTTGATAATGCACCAAATTTAACTTGGATCATTATGCATGCAAATAAACTAACCTCTGACAAGATTGGTGATAAAGTTTTTGCCAAACTTCCAAACCTTCAGCGCCTCTTTTTACAAAACAACAACTTAAGTCGTGTTCCACAGGATTTACCACATTCCCTACGAGATCTACACCTGAATCACAATAATATCTCAGTGGTACCGCTTAATTCTTTCCATGGAATGAGCAACCTGACAGCTCTATATCTTCAAGCAAATGCTATAGAAGACCTAGGCAATGCACTCAAGGGTTTGCTTTCCTTGACCGTTTTAGACTTAAGAGGGAACCGATTGAAAATGATTCCACAAAGCCTGCCACCAAAGCTGAGCCAACTCTATCTTGAGTACAACTATATATCCAGCATTCCTGCTGACTTTCTGAGCCAACGGCCTGATTTGCGCTTTGTACGGCTGTCTCACAACCAGCTCACCAATGGGGGAATTCCAGCCAATGCTTTCAATGTCAGCACACTTGTTGAACTCGATTTGTCATTCAACAAGCTGGAGAGGATTCCGACTATCAGCACCAGCCTAGAGAATCTGTATCTCCAGGCCAACAAGATCAAAGGTACAGAGAAATTATTTGAAATGTTAAGCAAATGTCATAGGGCATGTCACAGCTACTCTATTTTTAAAGAAACACATTTAAGATTTCATTTGCATTCACATGCATACAATATTTAGGAGTAATTTACATTTAAGATATAATTGCTGGAAAATGTACTCATTATTTACTCACCCTTAAGAGGCTCCAAACATTTATGAGCTTTTTTCTTCTTCTGTTGAATACTAAACATATTTTAAAGAAACCTGTAATCATTGACTTTCATAATAGAAAAAAAGTAAATACTATGAAAGTCAATAGTTACAGGTTTTCAGCTTTCAATTTCAAATTAATTTAATTAATGTTTTTTTAATTTCCCCAGACCCAGATTTTCAGTTATAAATTGATAAAAAATAGAAATGTCACTAAAAGAGCAGAAAAAATCTATTGCTATCTATTGTAAATTTACACAGGAAAACAAAGTAACAACACATTAATGTTACAGTGTTACATTAACACCACTTAGTAAAGTATATACAGGTATTTACAGGATTGTTAAAAGTAACAAATAGGAAAAAGATGATTCACCCCAAAATAAATAGTTTACCCACAAACTGACTCAAACTCAAATCATTCTCTCGATTTCCAAGCCAACTTCATATATTAAAGTCATTCATTCATTTTCCATCGTTCCAGCGTATGTTTAACAAAGTGGATGCTCTTCCAGCCGCAACCCAGTATTGGGAAAGATCCATACTCACTCAATCACACATATACAGTACAACTAATTTAGTTATTTCAACTCACCTATACCGTATGTCTTTAGACTGTGGGGGAAAGTGGCGCACGTGGAGGAAACCCACGCTAACACAGGGAGAACATGCAAAAATGCCAGCTGGCCGTGTAAGGGTATGGGTGTTGGAGGAGACGAGGCAAGAACCCAATTGCAGTAAATGAAAGACTTAATTGAACAAAAATAAACAAAACAACTTAAACCTCCCTGTGGGTGAAAAACATTAATACACACTAGGGGTGTAACGGATCATGGTTGACCCGCGGATTAATACATTTTTTTACTGTTAGATTAATCCTAAATTTTTAATGATCGCCGAGAGATCACCTCTCGCGTCATTGGAATCACATATATGAAAGCATTAGTCTTTCCTGTAAAATATAAGGATGATGGAAGAAGTTGTAGTAGTTTATTTGGGATGTGGTGTGTTTCATTAAAGCTTTTTTCTGCCACTACTTGTTTAGCTTGCAGTGATGCATTCAGTGTAAGCAGCACGATTAATCATTAAAAGTTCAGGATCTTAACACCCACGCAACATAAATTATAAATGATGGTGATACGCACATATATTAATCATAAAAGATCCAGTTTTTAGTCTTTTGAGTTAGTTATGAAGATACAAACAGTCAAATAACACAGAAGTACTGAGTTAACAGTTTATAGTTCAGATAAATCTACTGATGTTTATGGTAAAGATTAAAATCACCGTCATGTGCTCAAAAATGAAAGTATTACCCACTAATTACATCAAACAAAAGGTGGCGACAACAGGCCATCAGAAATATGCCACTGAATAATACTTCAAAAATGATCCATCTAGCAATGAAACATGAAGTTTTATGAGTGAATAACTGAATCATTTATTGAAAATGAGACTAAAAATAAATATGGGTTGTACAAATTATAATGTAGGATTTATCCATTTAGCATTATCAGCAACATTAGCAGTAACAGCGAATCTTTCACAGTACTGAATATTTTCAATTCAATATTTTACAATTTATTTTTATTTAGCTGATCATTTTCTTCATTTTACTTTTAATAAAACTACAGGTTTTAAGTTGTTTATTAAAACCAAAAGTGTCTTGCAGCACTGTTTTTGAAATAAATGTAACGCAAATTACATGTTATTGTCTCCTTTTTGGCTAATCCGAAAAATGGTCCGATCCGGCACAACAACAAAAAAAAAAACATAATGTGAACCGTGAGATTTTTGATCCGTTACACAACTAATACACACTATGCTAGACTTGACAGGATTTGGCACAACAGACACAAGATCATCCACTACAAACTTAACTATGTCTTCAATGATGAGCTTCATGACAACAAATTACATCTGTTTCAATGATAATGGAGCAGTACAGGACAGAACACACTAGGAGAATAATGCTGCGGTGCGGTTAAAATAGAGTTTGAGTATGCAAAATTCTGTTGTACAGCGCTGCAAAAAGGGGTGGTATTAAACAAGATGATTAGACAATAAAAAAGCAAGCAAATGATCCACATTTTAAATTTCCTGTCAAGAGAGGTAATGTTTTGATCATCTGTTGATCTCATGCAATCATGTGATGCAGTCTTGCAGGTCAGAGTTCACCAAGCTTGAACTTTCCAACGCAGCAAACCAGCTCGCGCTGTCACGGTTTGTGTAGAGGAAAGGGGCGAGAACTCAAGTGCAGAACTAAATGGGTTTTTATTAATAGTAAAAATAAACAGTAAAATAAACTACCCTGAGGGGGGAAACGTTAATGAAAAAAACGAATAAACAAACGCAACATATGATAACGAACTCGCACAGGACAGCAGACATGAGAAGAATATAAGGAGAAGTAAATTAACACAAACAGAACAAAGAGGGTGGGACTACACAATAGACGGGAGAGCACATGACACAAAGAGACAACACTAGCCATGCGCTCACATAAAACGAGACTAGAACATGCAGCCAATTAGAGAACTCATTAATTGTGTGTTCATGACAACACAAGCACAGGGTGCATGTAAACATACACCACGTGCTAAACATAACACCAACAGAAGACTGAACGCGAGACACTAGTACACGAAGAATGAAAACACTCATCATGCACTCACACATGCAGCGTGCACATCCCAGTCTCATCCCAGCGCCGACCAGAAATGAAACCAACTAGACTGAGACGCTGGGAATGAAACACCACGCTGCAGACAGATGAACGTGAACACCCAGATGGGAGCGCACAATTGCAAACACGCATAGACCTCCTGCCCCCGCATCAAGCGGGAACGCGCACAGTCCAAGTGCGTTCACAATTGGCGCTTAAACAGAGACACGCACAATGACAGAAACAGGACAAGACAGAGCTAGTATTCCAACTTTGCTACCAAAACAAGAATTTACAAGACCAGAGTGGCAGAACCCTGACATGCATTTCTGGTCTGATGCATTTGCATGCGTATGAATGTAAGTCTTTGGGGAGAAAAGTGAACTGACAAGCAAACAGGTGGACATAATGATTAAAAACAGGATAAAGCTGCGGTCACACTAGTGTTTGATAATGCACAATTCTGTCGTGCGGAGCTGCGAAAAAGGGGCGGGATTAAACAAGATTATTAGACATTAAAAAAGCGAGCGATTGCTCCATGTTTTAATTTTCTGTCCAGAGATGTCATGTTTTGATCCTCGGTTGGTCTCACGCAGTCAAGTGATGCGATTTCGCGGGACAGAGTTCACCAAGCTTGAACTTTGCACCGCAGCAACCTGCTAAACTTGACGCATGACCCTGCGTTTCCGGTCTGATGCATTCGCGTGCGCATGAATGGAAGTCTATGGGAGGAAAAGGCCAGTGTGACCGCAGCTTCACAAAGGGGGTGGGACAAGATGATAGACGAAAGAGCACATGGTACAGACAGCACAACATAAGCCATGGGCTCACATACAAACAGGACAAGACCATGCTGCCAATGAGAGAACCCATTGACCACATGCTCACATGAAACAAAATACTAAAGCACCTAGCTTCAATCTAAACATGAAACCACATGCTACACAACACCAACACAGCAGAAAATCAACAAGACAGAGACACTGAGCAAAGAACAGCATGCCACAGACAAAACAAACACAAACCACTGAGCCGCCGTGTTGCCTATTTATTAAAGTTACTAATTTAAATTTTTTTAAAAATATTTTTTGTTACAAAAACACATTGATCAGCTTCATAATAAATGTGTTAATTTTACAATTGATGCATGTGCTTTTGGAAGCTTCAGAAGAAGGACCACTAACCAACATTATTGTAAAAGATGGAAGAGCCAGGGTAAAAATTTGAAACATCTCTTTCTGTTCATCTGAAAAAAGAAAGTAATATAAAGCAAGGATAGCTTGGGTGGGTAAATTATGCCTTAATGTTCATTTTGGGTGAACTATTTCTATAATTAGATAATTAAGTGTGTTGATTAATCATTAATGACCTGATGTTAACCAGAATCACTGAAAAGACTGAAAATAATACATACATACACAACCTGTTGTATACAGTCTATGAAAACAATTTGATTGATCTTTACTCTTACAGTTGCCATTTTGATCTACTCAGTAGGATTAGGCATTAGGCTACTCTAATGCAGGGAGTTCAACATAGGCTCAATCTAAAAACTTAGCCTTATATACATTTCTGGAGATCATGAATTATATAGCCAGAAGTAAGTATGGCTGCATCTCATTTTTAAAATGAACGCTACGGGGCGGTATGAAGTCGTTTTTTTTTTTTCATGCTTATCAGCTGACTGATGACCATATAGACAGCTTTCCTACTGTTACCAGTTTGTCCAGTTAGCTCGCCCTGTACGTTGGTGGACTTGAGATGCAGAGAGGAGTTGAGCACGATGGCGGGGTTAGAGTCCAGTGAAAAAATGTTCCAGAAGGCAGATAAGACAAAAACAGAATCCATAAAAATTAAATAAACAAGTAAATACCTGGGTGACAATGTGGTCAAATCTGAAAACCTGGTATAAAAGCAGGCGAGGGCTTTTCTTTTTCTTAATTGAATTTTCTCAAGTGAGTGGGCGGGTCAATCTGTGCTTTTTAAAAAAATACTATTGGTTGGGTTTAGGGAAAGAGGAAGGTGGGTCAGTTGATCGGTCAGTCAGTCAGTCATTCAGACAGTCAAACAGTCACTCGACAGTGGCCTCTGGTGGATTTACGCGAGAAGAGCAGGTACGAATGGCACTTACAAAAGAAATTTGAGATCTCAAAAAATGTACACAGCGGCCTCTGGGGGATTTGCAAAAACAAAAACTGCAAAAAAACGTAGCTCCTGGGACATATTTAGCGCACTCCAGAAATGTATATAGAGGTACGTTTTCAGAATGAGCCTGGGTTGAAGGAATTAATGTAAAGATTTATTCTCTGTACGTGCATGGACAAAGCAATATCTGCTTTTCATTTCCCAGAATTTTCAGTGAGCAGCTTCTGCAGAGTTGTGGACACAAACAATTATTCTAACCTGCGTGTACTGCGACTGGAGGCCAATGAAATTACCCCACGAGATATACCCAATGAAGCGGTTCTCTGTCTGCGCCTGGCAACCAACATCGACCTGTAGGCCTGGCATCAAGCCTTCAACAGTGCATCAAATTATTGTCAGGCATGAGCTACATGTAATGAATCTATAGCTTTGCTTTGATTTGCAATTATGCTTAACAAAATTGTAAGTCTTGTGCTTTTTCTGAATTTACAACCAGTGTTAAAGTGTGAGATTAGGCTCTCTGATTCAGGAACACTAGCTATGTTTCCATCCAAAGATGTTAATTAAATTTATGCACAAAATTGAAATATTGCAGTAAAGATATGTGAATAAAGCACTAATTTAAAGTTTCCATCCAATGAGGCAAAGAGAACAAAATTGTCACTTATATCAATGATAAAATATCAGAACAAATATCCATAATAAAAACAGAATTTGCTAAGGTAGGAGAAGCTGCATGCAGAGGCGAACTGGCCATAGGGAGCACCAGGACATTTCTCGGTGGCCTGACAGTCAATCTGGCCTGCCACCGAGACTATGGCCTGCCGTCTAACTTTCCCTGGTTTTCACTCATTAATCGAACCTTATGTGGCTTGAGCTACAAAAACTTTTCCCGGATGAAAATGCTGTCCCAGTCCACCCCTGGCTGCATGAATCGTTTCTTTATTTAATAAATTACTTGCGCCTCAAGTAATAACTGTGTGGTGGTGTTTAAAGGTGTGAGATGTGGAGCACAGACGCTCTCAACAATTTTGGATGTAATAATTAATATAACAACACTAATACTGAAATAGTTATGTATTTTAGACCAAGAACAACATTTTAGATGGTCTACAATGTGGTCTGCCTGATGGTTTGTCCATTCACACACATTTTAAAAATGTTTATGTCCAGACGAGCCAAATTACACAATTTTAGCATATACAAAATATAAATAATCACCGTGGTATGTATATAAAAATGATATGAAATACTCAAAATTTGATTTAAAAAATCGTTGGGCTGTTATCATAATTGTACAAAAGCAAACAAACTGCAAAAAAAAAATAATAAAAATAATACATTTTTGCCCATATGTTGCCCATTTGGCCTTATTTAAGCTGGGGCCCATATTCAACCCAACAAAATGCCCACTCCTAACCCATGCCCAGTTGAAACTTACATAGCCAAGAAAAATCCTACAGTATGTGGGGCTCACATGGACATGTTAGCTGAGCAGTTTGCTCGCTTAACCTTACATTTCTCAAAATCTCAGCAGAAAATCAATAAGTAACTCCACACACAGCATCAGCAAGTTTGATTATATTTATGTCAGACATCTACAAAAGTACCTAGTAACATTTATTGAGAACTATAGGTGCTAATTGTTTTATTCATTGTAGTATTGTAGTATTAACATGTGAAACTATAAAATCTATGAAAAAGGCCAGTCAAATGCCTATGATATTGGCAAGTGCTAACTCACAAGAGCAACCATTTCACAATTAGCAGTATTAAATGAGCACATGTCAGACTGCACTTCAGACATTTACATCATTGAATAAATCCAAACTACTGAGCTCCTGACTTTCAGGGTTCCAGTGTTCCTCTGTCTTTCAGTGTGTGTGATGGCACATTCAGTGGTAGTTTGACAAGGAGCACAAACACCTAGGCAACTGTCTGAAAGAACATGATAGCTATTCTCTTCCAGGCAGCTTTGGCAGTTGGGTAGATGAGCCTCTAACTCAGCAGCTGGACCGATTAATTGGGTGCTACATGGGGCCAAGAAAAAAAAAAAAAGTAGAACCCTTATGGCCTCCAGTCACCTTCTTCCTGGAGGTGCATGGAGAGCTTGTACAGACATGAAGGCATTTTTCTTTTCCTGGTTGCTCATGAGTTGCACCCAGATGACCCTTCCCCTGGTGTCATGATTGACCTCCGCATAGAGACAGACTATGAACTCCAAGTTAGCTGCTCATGCCTTGGGGAGGGTGATGGCCATGCTGGTGGTCCAGAAACATCATATTTGGCTTATTCAGGTCAATATGTGGGATGTAGACAAGGTTCAGTTTGACACTGCTTGGGACTTTTCCCAGGAGTTCTCTGTTCATGGACTGTTCAGCTGCTGTTAGTCCCTGTATCGGCTGCTGCTCTGTGAAAGCTTCCACCTGCAGATTCCAAATTTTCTTCATTGCTGCAGCCCCTTTCACTGACAAAGTTCGGTAAATGGACATTGAAGCATCCATGAGAAAAGGCTACTCCTTTTCTGCTGCAGAGCCAGGGATCCCATCTGCAGCGCAACATCATGCCACTGGCAACTATATTAGCCCAAATTAGCAGGTGCAGTTATTTCTCTCTTTGGGTGTGAAAGGTCTGTGACTGGCTGCCTTTCAGGACACAATCATGACAAATTTTGTCACAGGCTATGAGTGCACCAGAGGACTACTTTCTGTTGTACCTCCAGCCTATAGATCCTGTTAGAGAAGTAAAAGCTACTGTCTTACCTTTAGCTCTTCATCGAGAAGTACAATTTACAACTTTCTGTTGCTACACTGCTGGTGTGTCAGTAGCCGCGTTTCCACAATCGCACCAAAAGCTAGTGAGCCAGGGCAAGCCAAGGCCAGTCGTGTTTCCATTGTCACTTTCGGGGCTTGAACGGGCCTAAGTGGGGTATTCTCGGGGCCCCGAATACCTTGGGCCAAAGAGGGCCAGCTGGGGCTTCGGAGCTTTGGGTAAAAGAGAGGCAGACTTTGCCTGAGTCTGAGATAGCTTGCCGTCATTAAACTAGTTTTCCGATCGCACACGCAACAAAAAATAAATAAATAAGGGAAAGAAAACATATAGCCTTGCATAAAATAATAAAGTTTTCAGTGACATTCTTTGCTGCATCCTCCTTGATGTTTCAATAACTGATCTGAGATCGCTGCGTGTGTTGTGAAGGACAGATCTATCGATCCTCGAAATCATGATCAGCAATGCAACGATTGGCTGACGGCACAGCAGTGTAATGAAATCATCTGATTAATATTCAATTGTCCATCTGAGCAAAATTACATCAAATTAGCAGTAAACGGCTTGTTAAATATGACACGCAATAACCTTCCACATTTGTTGTGAGCTGCAGGCTTTCCATTTTCATGTGTCAAGACAAGAGTATTCATCATGTATTTCAATGCAAATCAATGTATTTAGTTCCACATTTAGAAAAGATTTTCTTTATTATTGTAGCCGTTTTTTATTCGGTGTAAAGAATAACTGGTTGTTTACAAAAGCGTTTTCATATTGGTAAAGGCGTCTGCAACTTTTGTGAAGCATCAAATCACAGTGACCAGCATATTAACTGTCAAAACATGTTTATGACCGCATATGTATTATTGCTTTAAAAAAAGTCACATATTGTGCATTTCTATCATACACAATTTGTACTAAAGCGATCAAAAAAGTTAATATCAATAAGTTTTCTCTTTGCACCATTAGGTGGCAATCTTTGTACTTTCATTTCGAGGGTGCAGATTGCATACGTTTTATTAATATGTATAACTTAATTTATTTTATTAATGACTATAACTTTATATATATAGTTAAAAAATATGTACCATTTTCCCAAGTGTATATAACTACTACTGTAAGAAAATATCAGAATTCGGAACATACTTTCTGTATTATCTTTGCTTGAACTAAGCCAATCTAATCCTGTTTATATGAATTGAACCTGCTCCCGATCAGGTTTGACCTAGCAGAACTGTTGCTATGACAACAACTCTCGGATCAGCTTTGAAGAACGAAACGATCCTGGATCGTGTCAAATCGTCAATATCTAAATCCAGCTAACTGAGTAATGCACGTACGAAGAACAGACCCCTGGATAGTGCTGCTCAGCCAGCCAAAAGCAACATTGTCAAATTGCTTCTTATTTTTATTGCAATAACTCCAGCCACATAATTTTAATCCAAACTCACATTACCACAGAGATCCCAAGTAAAGCAATCATTTTCACAGCAGGGCTGACTTCTGAAAACTTGTATTTTCAAAAAAGACAAAACATTTTATTCTCAACTAATTTTACTTGAGATTTTGAATGCCTGACAGAAATAAAGTCAAACAGGTTACTAATTAGAAAAGTTGCTGATGCTTTTTGTGGAGTTGTTTAATGATCATTTGTTGAGATTTTGAGAGATTAGTTGATTTCACCTGCGACTAAAGTCCCTTAGGGGCATCATTTCTATGTTCTTACTGTCTAAAAGAAACATCTAATATACATAAATTGGACACAATGTAGTATATGCACAGGGACTTTTTTTTCTCTAGGGTATAAACTATATCCAAATTAATTTGCTGATTTGAAAGGCTAGCAGATTATGGCTTGCAATTATGAAAATTATGAGCAGAGGCCAAACTTTTGCATAAAACTGTATGCATCGTGATGCATAAATTAATAATGATCTCTTTAATAAAATGCAAATCAGCTACATGTGTCTAACAATATCAACAGCAAATATGGTAGAAGAAGGGATTTACAGTAGATTTCTTTTTGTGTAAACTCTGATTTTGCTTATAACATTTTGATTGACATGATTAGTTAATCACTATTTTAAAACCTTCAATAGTTAATAGTTTGCATCTTTAAACTCTTAGTAAATGCATGATGATGGTGTGGGTGGGGAAATGTTTTTGTTTTTGTAAATGTGAACCACATTTTCTGTCAGTTAGACATTTTTTTTTTTCTGTGAGAAGTTAGTTTACGAGGATAAACAAACCCATATCTGGAATCTGAGAAAAGTTTAAACGTGGACATGTACAGCTCCTCCTAGAATGTAAACGTTTGATCAGAGCTGTCATTGCCATTTCAACAATAAAATCTAAGAAATATACATAGTAGTTTTTTTCTTTTCTTTTTACATATTTTACATCTTTTCCTCATTATTTATGCATTTATTTGTTTTACATTATTGTCTTTGTTTATCGGAATATATCTGTGTTTGTGGTGATGCACTGTTTCTTGGAAGCATTTTGAGCCATCTTTAATCGGATGAACTTTAATGTTTTCTCCTGAGAGCTCACTAATCCCAGTCATATTCATTAGGTTTAATAAACAGCCTTGACCTTCAGAGAGAGCTGTAAGGGGATCTGGTTCCTTGAGGACAAAGTACATGTTAATTACTAGAGGTGAGCTTGTTGCACACAACCCAAAGGAGTCAATAAAATGTCAACATGTGTCTGCACAAACATGTAGTTTCAATCCTCTAAACATTGTCAAAAAGTTTTGAAGTCAATATTTAAAGACATTAAAAACATATACATTTATTGATATTACTGAAAATCTGCATGAAAACAGTTCCATTACAAAAAAAAAAAAAAATATATATATATATATATATATATATATATATATATATATATATATATATATATATATTCCATTTGACATAGATCAATTGTGCAATACATAAATAGTAAATTTGCAGAGTGCTTATGTACTGTACAATAACACAAAAAAAAACAAGAAAAGAAAAGAAAAATCCATGTTAATGGTTTGTTGTAAGCATGCATATACAGACAAATAAACACGTAAGAATATGTTAAATCATTTTCAATTACCACTTAGTTAAGGATTGAGTAACTACTTTCTTTACTTGAGTGCAGTCATGCAGTGGTTGGCATCACTGTTAAAACCGTTAAGTAAATAGAGAGATGCTTACTTTAACAAAATGATCAAAATACAATAACTGCTTTTCTTTTGCATGTGTGATTAATGCATGTGAAATGCTATAACATGCTTCCATTACCCAAGTCTTAACAAGATATTAACACAAAGTACATAAAAAAAAAAAAAACATAATCCTAATATACATGCAAAACTTCTTAGGGGATTCACACAGCATATTTGACTTCACATGCAATCTTTGTGTTGTTTCTGTGCTCTCTGAAATATATCCTTTAATATTTTGCCATTGCATCGCTGTGAACCTGGGGCCTCATGTATCAACGCTGCGTACGCACAAAAACTTTGCGTACGCCAGGTTTCACGCTCACGTTTGGATTACCTAACGATGAAATGAACGTGAGAA